GCAAGTACTCACGAACTGGATAATACAACCGAGGACGCCATCCGTAGCAATGTTCCCTCTGAACAACAGCAGGAGTTTCTTTGACTAAATAGAGAAATTTTGCAAAAGATCCAATCACTTTGCGTTATTTGTCACTGCATGCACTAAATACACAACAGCATTGAATCCAAGAGAAAGACATACCGGATCAACCTCAAATCTTAGATGAGACAGGATTTATGCGGATGAATTAATACATTGACATGAAGATTAGTTCAAAAGTCATCTTTTCAGGAATATAGCGCAGTAAATTTATTTGCAAAAATAAAAGTTACTTAGATTATAGATAAAAGCTTGAATATCAAGAGCTAATAGACCAAATTTTACAATAATCTCAAGTTGCTAGTTTTACAGTAATTTCAATGTGCTGTGAAATGGACGCTTTCAAAATCAGCAACCCAAATACCACAACGAGTTTCAAATGAAGATGAGACACTCTCAGAAAAGTAGTTTTGAAAACGTTTTTTGGAGGAATTAACCCAAATTGGTTGTAAGTAGAAAATGGGAGGGTTCCAAACACGCATATATATAAAAACCAAGAATAAAAATAGGTTGGTCAGTGCGTTGAAAGAAATTTTTAATTTTTGTTGGATAATTTCATATCCACCCCAGAATCGATTCTTAGAATAAGATCGTACCAGGCTTAGGAGGATTGATGTGCTCGAGGCGGACATGTTCCTCTAACCTATTCGTCGTAGAAAATCGCATCTGACATCCTTCGATGACACAATGGAAAGGATTCGCAGTCCGTGCATGACGAGTGCGAAAGTGATCCATGAGCCAGCAGATCTGCAATTAGCATTACTTCCTTCAATGCTTTTTGTGGTTTCTTTTTATAAGTTAGAAAATCCTTTTAGTTCTAGAAGAATAGGGTAAAACTTTCGTATTTCTGAGAGCATTTTTCAATCTTTGAATATTTTTCATTGACTACTATTAAACTCCTTCTACAAATAGATAGAGATACAACGGTACGTAGTTTCCCAAAAACTTGGCTTTCCTTGCATCGAACCTAGCCTTTCGAAACTTTCGCTTGAATGGCGAAATGATAAAAATAAATAAAGAGAAGCTGCTTTAACCCAAATACGTTCATGGAATAATGCCCTTACGAATTGACTACGACAGATTTGGCGACCTGCACGTCAAAATTCGAACAGAGTTTTTTTTTTCCGACGCCAAAAGGGCTGAAGAACAGAGTGTACTCAAAATAGGAAAAACATGATGGTTTTTTCCGATTACTCACACTTAAACTTTTCTTTTATTATGGTCTATCGCAATTACGAACGGAGCTAATACTACAGCAAATGTTTCAGTAAAGAAAGCTTTCTAACGATTGCATCCTATACAATCGTACTCCTGCTCAAATATAGATAATTGCATAATAGTGGTTAATGAGACATGAAAAAAGGGATATCGCGCGTTTTTACTTTTCACAGCAACTCGCAACGATATTTTAGGATTCTTATAGTGATTTGCAGTTGTAGCTCATTGAGGTTTGCTCAACTACAATCCCTATAAATTCGATTTTGGTCAATCGAGCATCAACTTCACAAAAAAATGCCATTCAAGTGCAGCTGTTCCTTAGAAACTTTGCCTGTAGAATGACGTCCGACTCAACAAATTCTATAGATAAATTATAAGAAAAATCAATGATGCTGAACATCTACCGAACAGCTATGTCAATACCGCTTGATACCAATAGAAAAAAAGCATTTGATTGGGAAATGAATGATAAATACTAATTAAAAATTTGAGCGAAAGTTTGAATGAATTAAATGGGACAAAGCGAAACCATAAAAATTAGATGGGATAGTTTTCACCTTTTTCTCACTATCTCCTCTTCGCAGGAACATCGTGCAATCGTCCCATTGGCATTTAATTGATTCGTCATCTTCTTTTTCTTGTTTCTGTTTTGACGGCTCAGGTGTAAGATCATGCAATGGATTGATATGGAGCTAAAACAAATTTCGTTGGGATTACTATAAGTGAATTCACGAGGTAGAAAAAGACTTCGAGGAAAAAATTAAACTAAACGAAGAGTAAGCAAGAAAGGAAGGAAAAGTGAAATAATCACCTCAATGACATGATCATACAAATAGTCAGCTTTGTCATAAACACTCGAACAACCACTCCATAAACAGAGGTAACTTATCGAACCACCATCGATAGTAAGTGATTCTGATGGCTCACTAGTGTCCTCTGTAAGAACCAAAATTTGCAATCCTATATAGATACAAAGGATAATGCATCAAAAATACAAGACAGAAATCCAAAATTAATGGAATCTAGAGGGGAATTAGATTTAAGAGTTACCAACCGCATGTATGTGATGTAGCGCTGCACGATGGTGTAGACGTCGAACAGCTAGGGCAGTCAGTATTTGGAGAACTGGTCGACAATGAATCCAGTGAGATTGAATCCTAAAGGAGGACTTGAATGACAAATGTTGGTTTTTCTCGAGCCCAGAGAGATTCTGTTCAGATGCCGAACAAGCAGTACAGCTTAACTTAGGGCGTTTTAAAGAATAGTCTATGCTGAAGTAGAGCAAATACGCAAATGAAATATGATAAAGAGCGACAGGTGGCAAAAATAAAATAAAAAGATTGTCTTATAAAAAAAGAAAAAATTTCTGCAGCTCACTTCACGATACAGCGACGATTCGCTACTTGAAGGTGTTAAGTCACATATAACAGCGTGAGCATCACCAGTTGGTAAGCCCAAGACAGTACATGACGACGATGGCAGTGATGGAACGAACAATGGACGTTTTTCCTAAAAGATAAGTCATCATTATGTAGTCGAAAAATCTGGATTTCAATTGTAGAAAGAAGAGCTCTTGCATCCGCAAGAACTTTAACAACTAATCAAAGGATGTCACTTAAAACCAGAAATACCTTACCTAAACTACTCCTAGATCCAAAACAAAGATATCTACAGGTATATCCTGTAAGTATTTTATATGATGATGCGAATATGACATTTGATTTAACACAAACATCTAGATTTGACATTTCCCAGAAAAAAACACCCGTTATTGATAAAACGGCATATGAACTCAACGGGTATCCACGATTTCCTCTAGTTTTCGTTCAGTCAGAAAAAATCTGACGAGATAAAAAAATGAAAATCATTCAAGTGGACCTGTTGACATGGGTGACAAAATTTGAGTAAATTTAAAGGAAAAAAAAACAGTAGCTGAGAGTGTATAGTATCAATTTGTACCAATAAATTTGCTGAAAGCCATTCGATTAAAGAAAAGTGCAATTTGATATCCAAAAAAGTCAGAGACTATTATATTGTCTTCCAAGTATTACCTCATAAATATAACTATCAGCTGAAAATTGAAATAGTCGTTTGTCTCGAAGGAACTAAGACCCATTAGAATTACGTTTACGGGAATGTGAAGGGAAAGGAATTTAGAGCGAAGCCCTGGAATTGAATTTCGCTCTGATAATAAACTCAAACACAGATTAATATGCATAGCTTAGCGAAGATAACCAAAAACTATTGAGATTAAAAATTCTGTCACTAGCACGATTCGTCATTAGTTTTTGATTTCTGTAAGTGGGAAAATAGTTTAAAAAACCAATTGTATGTATGCTGCAACCAGAATAACAATGAAAATGAAACAAAGCCTATTTTGATGTAGTACTGGAAGTAAAGGTTGAGTACAAAAATTATGAAAATGATGACTGTGCACATGAATTAAAGAAAATAAACTGTGAATAAATCTAACAAGATCTTAACGAAATCCTTGAATTGTTTAAAATTACATTCTTTGGCAGCCTTATCTGTAGAGGTTACACGACAAAGGGGTTGACCATTTTATTAAGGTTCAAAGATAAGGTTATACAGAAAATGTTTGAGGAATTCCCAAAAACGAGATCTTTCTCCAATACCACATTTTTTCTACTCGGCTCTTTCTACTACTCAGAACTAAGAAAAAGGATAGGAAAATGCTCGCAAATGTTTGAAAAAAGATGCACATGAGATAGATTAGAAGGAGAGATTAGCAACGCAAACATTAAAAAAAAACATCTCAAAAACACTATAAAAGAGAAACCAAAAAAAAATCAGTAGTTGTTTGATCCTGTCTCCTCATTTTAACTGTATACAATTACAACTACATATAGACTCATTAGTAGAGATATACCTGAGATCCCGACGAACTGTGCTTGAACAACATGGAAAATTAAAAATACCGTAAGAGGATTTAGCAAACGCTGTTCAAATTGAGAAAAAAGCACCTTACATTCTATTTGTCAAAGACACGTGGCAGTAGATAGCACAATAAGAAAAAATACAGAAGTGCTTACCTTAGTGGTGTTCGATGATGAGGTAGCCGGACTAGATGGACAGCAACACGATTCAAACCCGGAATCCGTCGATATGGGGCTTAGCCGGTCCATCTCAGTGCAAAGCACCGAACACCGCCTTTAAACGGTCTAAAATGAACATTATAAGCTGCTAAGAAGTTTCAGATGACGCAAACAGCAATGTAAATTGGCGCTGTTAGACGCTGGCTACTCTCTTTTCTCCTTCCTGCGAGCGGAGAGTTGGGAAAAAAAGGGGCACAAAGAAGGAACAAAGGTGGTTGGGGCGGGTGAATGTGAAAAAACGAAGGAGGAAATAAAAAGCAAGGAGTTATATGCTATGCGAGTTATGCTTTCTAAATGGATATGATGAATATTAAAAGCAAAGGGAGAAAACGTATTTGCTGCAATTCCCAATTAATGAAAATCTGCGTCCAAATCGAACGAAAAGTAAATTTGTACAGATGCAGAAGAACTCGAAACTGTTTTGCAATGCACCAACAAACACTACATTCAAACAAATCGATTCACTTTCGAGTTCGCGCCAATTTTATCCTTTGTTATTGTAATTTAATGTTTCATACCACGCTATGATTATCCTCATATCCCGCACGCCCTATGATGTTATTTCGTATGGGAGTTTTGTAGTTACAAGAGTTCAATAAGATGTATTAAAACGCAAAAAAAGTCCAAATAAGAAGAAATACTCATCTCGGATAGGTTTTAGAACAAACTAAGACAAAATAAAGAAAAGAC